TGTGCGTGGGCGTGGGCGTGTGCGTGGGCGTGTGCGTGTGCGTGTGCGTGTGCGTGTGCGTGTGCGTGTGCGTGTGCGTGTGCGTGTGCGTGTGCGTGTGCGTGTGCGTGTGCGTGTGGGTGTGGGTGTGGGTGTGGGTGTGTGTGTGTGTGTGTGAGAGGGCAGATTCTCGCAAATAATCTCGGGCAGTGCGCGTCACTGCATGCAACCACCAGCGTTTTTGACACTGGCTTGACTGGGACGCTGGTTTCAGGTGCATGTGGGAGAGTGTAACACGGCGCCACTAGCGAAACGGTCGAACGGACATCATGTGCCCAAGCCTGCGCCAAACCATGCCAACCCCACCTCTGCCTCTGAAGCGCCCATTCCTCCTTTACATCAAGTCTGCGCAGCCCCTACAACAGTACAAAAAAAATGGCACGGTATTTGCAAGCCCTACATAGTAGCTAAGTAATGCCCGAGCTTCCAACATGCAACGCTGTGTATTGAGCCCTCTCCCGAATACCAAACGCGCGCGGAAAAGGACCTGATTCGTGTAATCATCCCTCGTCAACCCTGCCAAGGCGTTTGTCGGCACGCGGTGTCAATGCGGGTCTTGAGGATGCCTGAGCTCTGATTGGAGCTGAAGGTCTAGCGGCCTTGAAGTGTTAGGTGCCTGTTGAAAAACGAGACACATCACCTTCATAGCTCTCAAACAGCCATTTTTTAACCTTGCTTTGCTCAACCAAATGATGACAAACAGAAATGCAAAGCGAGATTGACTCGTCAGGGGTGGTTAATGGGTTCAGTCTTCGCTTCCTCAACTGGCGTGATGGCCTCTGCAAATAGTGGAGACATCCCATGCACGGTCTTTCAGTACTGGGTCCAAACCCATTTATGCGCAGATAAGCCGCCAGACTCTCGTATGCGCGATTCGCGCTCATCCATCAGGCCTCAGAAAAGAGAGGCGGGTCAATGCCTAACCTCAAGCCATATGAGTAATTGTCTAAACTCCTAGTATCCCCCTTAATAAGCCTTATAGTAGTCCACTATATAATCCCCTATATAACCCCCTTTAAGGAGTTTAGACTGTATCTCATATGGAAACAAAGATTCATTGCACTTGCCAACATGGGCCCTTGAGCAGTCTTTTCTCAGCCTAAACAGCGGCCAAGCACCCGCTGTCGCAATGGCTGCGGTGTGGCTGTACTGAGGGCTATTCCCTGGTACTCAGTAAGGACGGGGAAATTGGCTGGCTACATTCAATATCACTGAAGGGGATCCAGTCCGTTTCTCTAAAGAGCACCAAACTATGAAACTAAGCTTTGCCCAAGAGTCTCATACATGGAGTTGTCATGAGTTGACGCTGCAGTGTTGACCTTTTAGTTCTACTTTTTTGGTAGGTTTCTGTACATGGGCGTACGCAAAAAAGTTCTGAATTAGGTTGCGGGCCCGCAGGAGGGCACCTTAAACTTCACTTCTACTCGGAGGGTCATGGGTAGTTCTCAGGATAACATGCATGTAGAAATAAATGACCAAAGAAGCGAACGTGCAACCCTACATATGGCTTCCCCAGAACCTCCAAGGAGGATTTGACTCAAGCGGCCAGAGCTTGGGTCAGTAATCAATCAGATGTTGGAAGTTCCTCCGGCCTCGAGCTGCTGAACCATGGCTGCTCCAAGCTTTGTGATACGCGGCTGCCATGCCCGGTGAGATCATTTCTTGCACATCTCCTCCGTTTAGCATAGCATGAGGGTCGAGAGGGTCAAGACACCGCAATCAAGTTCGT